CCTACTCTAATCTGTGCTCTTTAGTGCACAGAGTTCATGTGGGATCTGATTCCCTTAATCAGTAGACCACGAGTCTACTGATTATATTTATTTTATTAAAAATGAATTATTTTATTTATTATTATTTTTTAAAATTTGACCAGTGAGAGACAGAAAGAAGAGAAAGGAGAAAGCAGGTCACCAGGTCTGACACTCAAACTGCAGCTGGCCATGTGGGAGTGCAGCGCCTTAACCACTGACACCACCTGCCGGCCCCAAAGTTCATTTTTAGACATGTGCCTGAAATGACTTGGGGCATGCATCCTGGCATAAACATAGCAGGCATGGATACATCTAGTTCAAGGAAAGAGGACTGGGTTAGAACCAGTTTTGCAAGTTGTGTCTATTAAACTGATGGTTAGAAGTTATGTAAGTGGGTGGAAGAGTCCTGAGAAGGCCCGGTGTTTAAGAGTAGAGTGATCACACAGTAGTCAAAGAGGAATATATTCTGGTAGAGAAACAAGAGAGAGATTGGAAAAAGCGGGGAGGCTAGCATAGTGTCAGATACCAGAGAGAGAGCCAATATGAGAACTGAAAATCTCTCTTACATTTGGTATTTAAAAGAATCAGTGATCTTTGGCCATTTTAGTGAGAAAAGGGGGGCAGAAGCCTGGGGATAGGATTCCTGAGAGGAACTGAGAAAGTAGAGACAATGAAAGAAGATATTTTTTTTTTTTTTGGCATAAAGGGTGAAAAGAAAAAGAAATTAGCATTACTGAAGATTTTTTTTTTTAAGTTGGGAGAAATGTTTTTAGGTAGTCAGCGGAGAGAAAGAAACTGAAAATACAGGGAAAAATAATCTTACACATTGTCAAAAATCATGTAATAGCCAAAATTTATTTATATAAAAATGTATAAAATAGAGGAAAAAATCTCCAGAGCGAAGTGCTGAAGGAGATGGGAGAGGATTTGGTTCAGACTGGAGAAGAGGGAAGGAAGGGTAAGCAGAGATTAATCTGTGACTGGTGAGTGAGCCTGATGGGCTCTGTGAAACAGGTAGGGAGCTTGAGGAGTCTCGAAGGTTGGAACAGCCACGGAGGGAGTGAGAGCTGGTGCTGATGAAAGGCAAGGAGTGGCGGAGTCTGAGAAGAGAACCCCTCCTTGTAGTAGTGTCATACAGTGCGTCAAGGGTAGGTTCTTGAAGTTAAATGGTAGTTTTTTTTTTTAAAGAACTGTTTTAATTTTATCTATTCATTCATTTTATTTTAATTTTACCAGACACACGCACAGAGAGAGAGAGAGAGAGAGATAGCGAGCGAGCAAGCCACCAGGTCTGGGACTCAAACTGTGGTCGGTCATGTGGGAGTGCCCAGCACCTTAACCACCACGCCACCTGCTGGTCCCTTGAATGGTAGTTTAATAGAAAAAAAAGCATGTAGTCAGGAGTGGTTGGACTCAGGAGAACAAAGGAGTAACTGAGTTGGGGGACAGACGTAGGATTCCTGAGGTAGGAAGAGAGGGATGAATCAATTCTAACTAGAAAAGAGGAGTTTGGAGTGAAAACCTCAGAGGTCAGGGAGTCTTAAATAATTATGAGATTCAAGACAGCAAATTAATGTAGTGTCAGAGACGAAAGGCATTGTATATTTTTTTAAGAGAGGTGTTTTGCACTGAAGATTGTGCACTCACCAGAGAGACAGAGACAGGAAGCGACAAATCCTCCCCTTACCCCCCCCCACCCCCCCCCAGGGAGTTGGTCACACTGCAGTCCTTTCTTCTCCATTCTCCTCTTGGGAATTTGGGCTTGCACGCACATGTACCTGGCATGTTTTAAGCTACCGGATCCGGGACTCAAACCGCGGTCATCTATGTGGGAGTCCAGCGATGTAACCATTACACCATCCAGTGGTCCCAAAAGCCATTGTATTTATAACTCTTTGGAGTACTTAGGAGTTGGTCCTAGAGTCTTCAAAAAGTTTGTGAAAAATGCCTATTATGAAACATTTCAAATTCTCCATACCGAAGCTTTTTTTTATTTGGAGAGGTTTTTGCTATAGGGTGCATGCGCTCGCCAGACAGAGAGACAGAAAGAGAGAAATCACCCCCCAGGGGGGATGGCCATGCCGCAGTCCCTTCTCCAGTCTCCCCTCGGGATCTTGGACACACACACACACACACACACACGGTGTGAGTTTTAAGCCACCGGGTCCGGGATGCAAACCGTGGTGGACTACATGGGAGTCCGGCGACATAGCCATTACGCTAACTGCTGGTCCCCATACCAAAGCTTTTTTTGGGGGAGAGATTTTTGCTATAGAGCACATATGTTTGCTAGAGAGACAGAGGGAGACAGAGAGACAGAAAGTGAGAAATCACCTCCCAGGGGCATGACCACGCAGCAAACTCTTCTCTATTCTTCTCTCAAGATTTTGGACATGCACGTCTGACGTGTTTTAAGTCACTGGGTCTGGGACTTGCACTGCGGTAGGCTATGTGGGAGTCTAGTGATGTAACCATTATGCCATCTGCTGGGTCCACCAAAATAAATTTTAATTCCATTTTTCTATGAACTTTTGTTCCCTTGTATTTGATCTTGAAATTAAGGGGAAATCAAGGAAGGGCTAAGACAGTACTAACCTTTCAGAAACAGTACTCCAGTGGCAGTATGGAAATAAATCATAGAGGGGTAGGGGACCAGCAGGTGGCGTGGTTAAAGTGCTGGACATTCCCACATAGTTGGCCACGGTTCAAGTCCTGGACCTGGTGGTTTGCTTTCTCTCTCTCTCTCTCTGGTCAAATTAAATGAGTAAATGAATAAATAAAATTAAATAATTCTTTTTGTTTTTTGGAGAGGTTTTTCGCTATAGGGCGCGTGCGCTTGCCAGACAGAGAGAGACATAGAGACAGAAAGCGAGAAATCCCCCCCCAGGGGGGATGGTCACGCCACAATCCCTTCTCCTTCTCCTCTCGGGATCTTGGGCACGCACGCACCCATGCCCGGCGTGAGTTTTAAGCCACCGGGTCCGGGACGTGACCCGCGGTCGACTACGTGGGAGTCCAGCGACATAGCCATTACACTAACTGCTGGTTCCCAAAATTAAATAATTCTTTAAAAATATTCTAGAGGGGCAATACTTGGAACAATTAGAGAAAAGTTAAATTCACTGTTGGCAGTTTGCACCCAGGTGAGGAGCCTGTCATACTTAACTGCCTCTACATGTAAAGGGGTTAGTTTCAATGCAGCTGAGTTAATTTAACCAAGATACCTATATGATTTGTCTCTGGAAAGTTCACTTCCTCTCAGCTGCATTTTGCCCATAGTTATTTATTTTTAAAAAATTGTTCAGAAGTATTTAACTCTATCTGTTATTATTATTTTTTATTT